GGGGGGGGAGGGTGAGGTCTGTGCGCGGGACCTAGGCGCGTGTAGGGGAAGATTTTAAAACGGGAGGGTGACACACAGGGTAGGAACATATAACCAAAATTACAGCCTCCCAGCTTTCTGGTTGCTGAGATGAAAATGGGTGACAAAACTCACTCGCTTCCGAACACACGCACACACAGACGACATTTCGACAACATGCGTTTTTGCTGAGCAACGCTATAGCAGCGCGATAGCGTTGCTCAGCAAAAACGCATTAAAAAATGGAAATTAATTTGCTTATGGAATTATGAACTCAGTTAAGAAATGGGCTGCACTGAAACACCAACTGGTGGTATCTCCGGAATATGGTCTGAACATAGAACCGCCCTGGCACTTATCCTCCACAAAATATAGGGATGTGGAAACTCATTCTTAGCTTAAATCTTTTTAATAAGCAGCAACTACTTGCTTTCTGAGCTGTTCGGATGCCTTTCTTCCAAGAATCATTATGAAAAGGAAGACGGAGCAATTCCCACACTAGCTTCATTCTGTCATTGGAGCAGATAAAATGTTCTAGAGAGACTAGTTTTGTTAGCTTTTCCTTTGAAGCTATGGACCATTATAAGGCAGAAATTTTTACACAAAAATGGTTTGTTTTTTCAGTTTTAAGCCGGTTCAAACGACAATTTATGTCCAACTGCCCAGCCGGATGTTTTCCAAGCTGTCAGACAAGTTCCCAGTGTCAACAAGTGGCTCCTCGAATGGTCTGTGTGCAAGCTTGCTGTTGTCCGGCAACAACTCCGATTGGTGGTGGCGGTGGAAGTATCAATATCATACCAATACCAGTTCCTGTGGGAGTAGGGCCGACGAATACATTTGGGCTGTCCAGTAAGTGATTCTCCAAAGAATCTTTTTGTTGTTTATTCGCATAAGTTTTTTGCCAAATAATAAGTTATAGCATTGAAAAAAAATGTCTTCCTCTGATTCGAAACCAACCCGTTCACTCCTAAAGGTCTTCCTCTAGCTCTCCTTACCATAAATTTAATTGTTTTCGCGAAAGTGTTTTTTCTAAGCTTTCAAAATAATTGAGCATCATTCCTTTTGGCGCTAATTGTGACTGTCGAGATGGTCAGCGTCAAAGTTAAAAATCATGACCCAGAATGACCAAGCTCAAAAAAGGAATTAAATAACAGTCACATTGCTATGAATGTTTATCAGTGCCTATGTGCACTGATCAAATCGCATTACGGCGAAGTGAGGTGTGTCTGTAGGTACTTCAGAGGTCAAAAGCTCTTTCCGTGTTTGCTCTCAGTGAGAGGCCCTTTTACAAGCTGGCATATGCCAGTGCCAGTTTATCGTTGAAACGAATCGTAGAGGGATTGGTTGTCACAGCGGCGGAGTCGAACCTTCGACTACTGTATAATGTAGGTGCATATCGAAAGGTCCAGATCATTCCGATGCTGCATTGTCCCAAACTAATTATGTATGGAAATTTGGATAAGTGAGATGTCATTTTACTTGGCCTTTTAAATGAAGCACCATTTTGCAGCTGCATGCGATGGTGGACCAGCTGTAGCAGCATGCATCAATGGTCTTTGTGGACAAGGGTTTTTCTGTAATGCACGAGGTTTCTGCTGTCGATGCGCTACAGGGAACTCTACTGGTAATTTGTTCTGTGGCAGTTTTAGAAGGAATATGCAAATCGCATAAATTTTTCCAAATACTTTCAGTACTGTGATCGTACTGAAAGACAGGGCCACGGGTTTTCCAGTGAACAAAGCAGCGCTGTAGCAACAATAAAGTCATTACTGAAAAATAATAATATAGCAAGAGTTCGTTCAAAGTGATGAAAGCAGCTCTATCAGTAACTCATCAAAGTTGTCTGCGTTTGGTTTTTGCCGCACTTGTCCATGCTGACCGGAGGGGCATCACACTGGGAAGTCACTGTAAAGGAGCTTCAAAAGTACTGCACTATGGACGTGGAAGAACCACGCATTAATATAGCTAACTTAAGACAGAATAAAAAGAAATGTCAAAAATTAGACAGCTTTTGGAAAAAATTTGTTTTTCTCTTACGAACAGAAGATGCCAATATTATTGCCGTTATTAAAAACTCAGTATAAGCCTCATAAACGATTTCAAAGCTGGCTTATGCTGCTACGAACAAACTCAGACGCTTCCGAGTTAAAACTGGCATCGCTGCATTAAAAAATATCTAACTCGAAACTATGCTATTTTTCAGGACCATGCATCAATAATTTGTGTCCAGCTGGCTATTCTTGCAACACCAACAATTTCTGCTGTCCACTTGGCTCTGGCTCAGTACTTGGTACCATCATTCACAATTTTTTGTATAACACATTAGTTCTTGAACAAAGGCTAAAAACTTTAAAAAAAATTGACAACATCTTTTTCAGACGATAAAATTTCAAGCACCGCATTTTTCCTAAAAGCAAAGTTTTAGACACTTTAAGTGCAATACTTCCTTTATTTTTTGCGAAGCTGCGTCTAGGAAATGCATCAAACATGAGGAGGCATAACGTAGTTTTAAGTAAAAAACTTAATTCCTTGCATTTTTTTCAACAAGGGGTAAATTAATTCTATTTTTCAAGTCATCGCAGGAAAGATAAGGGGTGGAAAGCAGAAAGTGTTACAGGTCGTAAAAGTAGGTCTGATGTGTAATGAAATTATGAGGAAAACCTTCGCCGAGGTCTGTTTTTTTTTGCCAAGACTGCTCGCATTTCATTGGTGCCTTGTGTTCTTAGCGGCTTTTATCTTGGTACCCTAGTGCTTGGCAGAGCATCATGCCACTGGCCACAAGTATACACTTATTTAATGGAGTACCAAGAATACCAACATGAGCGTCGTTCATCGGGTATTTGGTGCGAACTGCCGTCTATTTCGACTCCAGCCGGAATGTTTGGTTGGTGAAGTCGTCTCGCAAAATGAGATCACTTCCATCATTGCTTGTGTCAGTCAGCCAACAGCTGGATTACAATTAATATAGTTTTCCAAATAGGTAGTGCTTGCGCAATCTCACAGACTTCTTGGTATTTTTTTCCCCCTCAGAAATTAAAATACTGGATTTGGAGACCGTCAGTCGGCACCTTTTGCCTAGTCAGAATGCTTTTTTTTATTTTTTTATTAGTTTGAGAAAATCTGCTTTCGATACCACTGAGCCGTTAAATTTCCTATTTTTTGATACAGCTTGTTTTCTGTCTATGGCTGAATTTTCCTCAGTCTATCAGCACCAATATTCAATGTCAGTAATGTCACTGGGACGCTCCCACACGCCGGGCGCAACTTATCATTTTTTGCAGTTCACTAAAAATGCTGTGAATACGAGTAAGCTAAAAAAAATTCTATAAAAATTCTACAAGCTTGTAACGCGAAAACATGGCAGTGTCAGAGAGCAGGAGGAGACAAATTGATTCCTTGCTGAGTGGTACTCACTAATTGTTCCAGTACTACCACTAAACTAATCGTTCGCGGGCTTTGTAGGTCCATGCATAAATGGTCAGTGTCCCTCGGGCTATACGTGCGGCGCTGGTAATCTATGCTATTCGGTAGCAGTCAGTGGACTCAAGAAGCGAAAGTGAACGAGTTGTGCCTGTTCTGTGATGCTCACATATTTCGTTTATTTATTACTGAAAGGACTGCTTTTTGTTGTGATATTTTTAAGTGCTTACTAATCGATGTCACCAAATGATCATGGCACAGTTAAGCCGATCCTTCAGGCTATTGAAGCGCATTCACCATCACGAATTCATAAAAGGTCTACGGCTGTCTCTTTACCCGATAGTAGGCCTGTTGTTGAAAACAGTTCTCTCTCCATTTTATTAAAACTGTTAAATTGCTTAAAACAGGCGGAAATAATATCATGCAGGCCTGATTTAGCTTCAGCGCAGCCTAGGTGTGCCCATAGGCCAAATGCCATTAGTGCTCGTTTGCTTGCTAAACAAATGAAAGTGTTCACTGTTGTATCAAGTTTTTTGAGGGAAGCGATTCCGGTGAGTTGAGGCTTGAACTCGACTGAAAATGATTTGAAATCGGCTGAAAATGATTAAATAATGCAGAGACCACGGGCCGAAATGGGATTATTCAGTATTATTAGCTAAGGGCGTCCCGTTACCGGATCATTATCCATTTCAGTCTTTTAATCCTCCAGCACATAATCTCATCAAAATTCTTTCTCGAATTCTTTGATGTTTCTCCCATTCACAAATGATGCAGTTAGCAGACCTTGTCAATTATTCGAAGAGTTGGGTCAAGTAAAAATTTCAAGAAAAAATTGAAAAAGTAAGCCCTTTCAAGGAAAAACTGAAACTTTGATTGGAGCTCAAATGTGAAACTGTTGGCAAATATTTTGTGCAGGAAGTAGACCAGAAATAGTGGCTCTCATCAAAAAATTATTCAACACCGATACAACGAAGAAGTAAAAGTGAGGCAAGTAACTACGCTTGAATTGTTCGACTCTGAATCAGCCGTTTGTAGCTCAATGGTAATTTGTCAGCTAATCAGTACTTCGTACCGATTATGTATTTTGTAAAGGCGTAGAAACGCCTACGACAACCTTCTACTATGCCCTATTTAGATTCTTTTTGTTTCATCAATTAAATTTGTTTGTCTTTTCAATTTTGTTAATTTTCCGAATTTTTTGAGTTTCTTGAATTGATGAACAACAAAATTGTCCTGATTTATGCGAGTTTCAAAACATGCTATCTAATAAATGGTAAATATGCACCGAAAGGATGGTGCAGGCATGCATTTTTGCCATAAGCAGTTCCTGATGACCTGCGGTCAAAATAATCGTATACACTGAGGCATTTCTCTTAATTATCCAGCTTGATGAAACATAAAAACTTTTGGTTTCCCGTTCTTGCGTTATAATTTTAGCATCAATTTTTTTGAACGTGCAGGTGCGTTTATTAACTGGAGGTATGCAGCCCAGGGCCAAAGGTTTAGCTACTCCCGGCACGTGAGAAATTTTATTAACATGTTGATTGGTCAGGGATTGTCAAATTCTGAAAGTTAATTTTGATTTATGAGAACTTGCTATTCCAAAATATCAAGTTTTTGGCGTGTTTCATTCTGCATTTATAAAATTAGCTTGAATGTGACTCTAGGATCGTAGGCTAGAAATACAGCAAATTTTAAACGCCAGTTTTAGGCTATTTAACTTGCAGTACTTGATTTTTCTCACGCCTGAATACAAACACACAGTAAGCGTTGAAATTGAATTTCAGCTCTTCAGTTCCAAAAAAAGTTGAAAGTGGTGTTTCCAGTTCATTGTGCATATTTTTTTGTACGCAAATGCAAAAACGCACATTGTGACGACCTGGTGTATGTGTGTGTATTGTGTGTGTGCGTCTGTCCAGATATTTCAACTTGGCACCCAAGCAAGCTCCGGCGCCAAAACTTTGCCAGTGGCGTCCCTGGCCAAGTGCCATCCCAGGATTGCGGTACCAACCCTTGTGCAAGTCTGGGCCCCAATACGAGAGAGTGAAATTTCTGTGGGAAAATCACTAACTCAGGAACCATAGAAGCCAAAAAACTGAAATTTTGAGGTTGTGTTCCTAGCCCACATAGAACTCAAAGATTTCAAATTCATCCCCATATGTGCGGAGTTCCCGCATATGGCCCCGTGAGGGATTTTGGCGCGAAAATCATCAACTAGGGAACCAGGAAAGCTGCGAGGCTGAAATTTTCAGAAAATGTTCCTAGCACATGTACAGCTTAAATTTATCAAATTCAGCCCCCGTGTATGCGTGGTTGTCACCTACAGTCCCGTGAAAATTTCTGGCGGGAAAATGGCTAACTTGGGAGCCAGGGAAGCTGGAGAGCTGAAATCTTCAAGGAATGCTCCCAGCACAACTACAACTTAAAATTACCAAAATCAGCCCCTTAGTGTGTGCGTTCTCACGTACAGCCCTGTGAAAATGGCTAACTCGAGCACCAGGAAAGTTGGGGAGCGAAATGTTCTCTGTCCAAATACTGCGTAGATTATTAGCTTTCCGAACCTCGAGGTTATATCATACATTTCTATCTACTGGTTTCCGAGCGACCTCATTACAACACGAAATACTGCA